AAAAAAAAGACTTTAGCATAGTTAAAGCACTCAGCTGGAATCAGAACCAATACACCTGGCCTTCTAATTTCCATGGAAGAGAATAAAGAGTAACAAACAATAGCCCCAACCTCACCTCCCACATCAGCCTGTAGTCCATATTTTCATCCAAGTCTTCAGGCATCCTCTTCTCTCCAGCAAAGGGTCCAAACTTCTCACCCTGGGTAGCAACGATGATATTGGAAAAGAATTAGCACAAACATCAAGATATTAAAATACACAGTTGTTGTTTTTTATCAGCTGGAAGTTTCTTCATCTAAATCTTCATGACTGCTGTGATAATTTTCAATCATAAAACATACACATCATCAAATATTGACAAGTTTAAAATCCCACTCCCTCTAAATTTAGCCTAAAAACCTGAATCCACAACAGGAGCCAGCCTAAAAGGGTTAAGATGCTTAACTTCCAAATTCTGAGAAGGCACTGCACATTGTACTTCATACGCTGTAATCTTCTTCATAGCTCCAGGCAAGTGGTCTTAAAATGAAACACTCTGAGTTTTGCCTGACTTGAGAGACAAGCCCACCAGGCAGAAAATCACCTGGTTTCTATAAAAATCATAAGTTCATCCCTATTTTGCACAAAAAAGAAGTAGGCTTGACATTCTCAGAGGAAGATTGGTCGTAAATAAAATTCAAATTCGCCTGCCAATCTTTCAAACAGCCAGGCGGGTACACTTTAACAGGATTGCTCCAAGTGTGTGTTTTAAAGTCGACTGCACAAAGAACTACCAAGGCAGCTTGTTTCAAGATCAAGAATGCTGGGCTTTGTTAAAGGCAAACCTGGATGTGGGATGGGGAAAGCTGCATTTGAACAAGTACTCATGAGAGCTGCTGATGTGGTCCCTGAAAGTGTAACTCGGAGTGGGGGGTCCCAGCAGTCTGCCTGCAGGGACTCTTGGGGCCAGTGTGGGCAGGGACACACGTGTGTTTTCCTAAGGGGACCAACGGCGAGGCTGCAGATCGCTAGAAGGAATGGGCAGTGTGTCCAGTCAGACATTAGATACATAGCAAGGTACCCAGAGGATATAGAAATACTTGGATCAGTGTGAGTTTCCTCCAAAGCATCCTATGACTATTTTTCAGTAGAATCCCTCCCCTTGCATGGAGGTAGGAGATGAAAAAAAGAAACAAAATCTCCAGGGGAACTTTTGATGAACATTGTTAGGGGGAAAACCACTAATGCAATGTTTCAAAGAATATAAATTATTTAATGAACAACAGAAAACCCAACTTCTGGGAATACTAAACTTTTAAGACTTAAAAGTGCTACAAATAAAGAGCCTAGTCCCCTCATCCT